GCAAACATTCCATTGTCTTTTTTTTTTTAATGTTTTAATGGTATCTGTCCTTCTCTGCCTGACTTATTTCGCTCAGCATAACACCCTCAAGGTCCATTCAGGTTGCTACACATGGCCAGATTTCATTCTTTCTCATTGCCATGTAGTAGTCCATTGTATAGATAAACCACATCTTCTTGATCCATTCTTCAGTTGATGGACACTTAGGCTCTTTCCATGTTTTGGCTATTGTGGAGAGTGCTGCTATGAACATTGGGGTACATGTGCCCCTATGCATCAGCACTCCTGTATCCCTTGGGTAAATTCCTAGCAGTGCTATTGCTGGGTCATAGGAAAATTAAAAAAAAAAAAAAAAAAGAGATCTACACACTGTTTTGCAGAGGGACTGCACCAGTTTACATTCCCACCAACAGTGTAGGAGGGTGCCCATTTCTCCACATCCTCACCAGCATCCAGAGTTCTCTGATTTGCTCATTTTAGCCACTCTGTCCGATGTGACGTGGTATCTCAGTGTGGTTTTGATTTGTATTTCCCTGATGAGGAGGGATGCTGAGCATCATTTCATGTGTCTGTTGGCCATCTGGATGTCCTGTTTGGAGAAGTGTCTGTTCATGTCTTCTGCCCATTTCTTCACTGGATTGTTTGTCTTGCGGGTGTGGAGTTTGGTGAGTTCCTTATAGATTTTGGATACTAGCCCTTTATCTGATATGTCATTTGCAACTATCTTTTCCCATTCCATCAGTTGCCTATTAGTTTTACGGATTATTTCCTTTGCCTTCCAGAAGCTTTTAATCTTCATGAGGTCCCAATAATTCAATTTTACTCTTGATACCCTTGCCTTTGGGGATGTGTTAAGTAAGAAATTGCTGCGGTTGAGGTCAAGGAGGTTGTTTCCGGCTTTCTCCTCTAGGGTTTTGATGGCTTCCTGTCTCACATTCAGGTCCTTTATCCATTTTGAGTTTATTTTTGTGTATGGTGTGAGAAATTGATGTAGTTTAATTCTTCCACATGTTGCTGTCCAGTTCTCCCAGCACCATCTGTTAAAGAGGCTGTCTTTTTTCCATTGGATACTCTTTCCTGCTTTGTCAAAGATTAGTTGGCTGTACATTTTTGGGTCCAAATCTGAGTTCTCTATTCTATTCCATTGGTCTATGTGTCTGCTTTTGTGCCAATACCACACTGTCTTGATGATGACAGCTTTGTAGTAGAGGCTAAATTCTGGGATGGTGGTGCCTCCCATTTTGGTTTGGCTATTTGAGGTCCTTTTTGGTTCCACACAAAGGGATAGACTGACTTTAACCAGACTCACTAGACATTAACCAAATTCACTAGATAGGTTCATAGAACTAGAAAGCCAGAATTTTCATTTACAATAGAAATAAAGCCAGTGAGAGCCAGATACTAAGAAACAAAACAAAACAAAACCGAAAAACCTTGAATTTCTCTTTCCAGCTTTATATTTTCCTTTGGCGAGGCTGCTTAGGAAGCTGAGGCATAAAGCTAATATACTCATTTTCAGGGGCACATTGTCATTGAAGCAGAGGTGGGATGAGATGAGACAATCCTGGCAGTGCTCCAGGACCAGTGCTTTCATTACCTGGAGGCAGATTAGACTCACCTCATCTTTCACCTGGAGTACTGCAGCAGCCTCTTAGCTGACCTTCTTGCCTCCAACACTGCCACCATCCATTCCTTTTCTTACTCTGTCATCAGAAGCAGATGAAATTTATACACATCAATCCAATCATGTCAGTTTGCTAGTTCAGATTTTTCACTGGATCCCCAATGCAGTTAAAATCCAAATTCCTTAGCATGGTCTACAGGGCTTGCATGAATGCCTCCTGGCTACTCTTCTTCTGGAGTCCCTCTAGCAAACTCCAGCCAACCAATTATACGTCAGTTTCTTAAGTAAACCACACACCCGCTTGCCTCAGTCTTTACTCAACCTCCTGTCTCCCTGAAACATCCTTCCTCACCCCTTTTTCTACCTGGAGAACTTGCTCATCTTTCTGACCACTGCTTCTATACCTCACTTCCTTCAAAAAGCTTCCTTAATCCCCACCTCCCAAATTTGAGTTACAGGTTCCCTATACCTTCCAGATACCCTCCTCCATCAAATACCCTGTACTGCTTTATCAAAATATTTAGGGTGCTATGTCATAACTATCTTTTCAATATTTAGTATATACCACTGTGCATTTATCTAGCTTGTATTTATTAGGCGGTGATCTAATCAGCATTTATATTCATGTCTTGAATGGCAACATAAAATGACACACAAAATTCCTGGAGGACAGCAAGTTGGGGAGAATATTAAATATATTGAACATATGCTTAGGGTCTAAAATTACATTAAGAGCCTGGAACAATTAACCAAATTCAGTAAGATGAAATTCAATATGGATACATATAAAGCCTTAAAACTGAGTTGCAAAGAAGAAAACCTTTGCTTAGATATGGCTAAATAGAAACATGAGTGAGTGGTTTCTAAGGGTCTAGATTGAATCCTAATCATAGAAATGACATTAGAATGTATTTTTAAGGCTTTTTCTTTATCAGACACTTCATGTTGATCAATAATAAAATACAACTATTTAAAATACTAATGATATCTTGGACTGAAATAATAGAAATATAATACTTATTTGGAAAGATGTAGCAATCTCATTGCTTTTCACTGGAACTTAATAAAATGGAATATATTCATAACAGAGTAGTGGGTAAAAGTTCTGGAAAAGAAGAGTTGAAGAAATAGTGAATGTTTTAGTGAAAGGAATAGAAGCCTTAACATACCTAAGGAGTACCAGATGAAATGAATAGGAAGTATTCTATATTTATCCATAAGTCAGACCAAGATCCATGGTTAGAAAAATTACAAGGAAGCAAATGTCAGTTCATCTTAAGGAGGTATTTCAAATAATGAAAATTGTTTAAAAATGGATGGTTTGCCTTGAAAGATAGTGGGTTTTCTGTTCAGATGAAGACAAAAGGCCTAAACATTCAGGCTTTCAAGATGTTTCATGCAGACTCATGCAGTGCATAGGTGTATCAGATGCTTTAGAAAGTGCCTTTTCCCTCAGAGATTCTGTGAGGCTATATCAGTGCACTCCTTCCTATCGTGCTGATGAATGGAGAGCTGATTAACCCCATTTCTGAGGATTAATTTTTTAGACATTTAAACAAAATGAAACATTATGGAAAAACACAGTGCCAAGGAAAATGACCAGATGAGTTGATTACTAAGGTCCTTTTCAACTAAGACATTTATGATTCTCCAGCTCTTTCTGAAGCTGGCTTAACACTGGGGATTGTGACCTTAATAAGGCCAGAGAACTTAGGGGAAAGACAGCTTAGAAGAGAGAGGTCTAGAGAATTAAACTTCTTCCACCCACAACATAATGGAAGGAAAGTGCCCTTTAGGGGACCATGTTCAAGGTTCTGTGATGGGGTAAAAATAAAACTGTATCTTGCACTTTCTATGTGCTGTAATATCACAGTCACAATAACCCACTGAGCACCACACCAACCATCAGAGTTTATATTTAAGCTAGCCACAAGTAAGACTATGGCCCCAATATGTGCCATGCAAAGTACCAGAGCTGTTGTCATATTATGTCATTGAATCTTTGTAGAAATTCTCGAAGTATTAGTATCCTCATTTGAAGAGTGAGAAAGCTCAGCTTCTGTGAGCCAAAATCCCTTACCTAAGTAATTAAGAGGCCTGAGTTTCAAACTCAGGATTACCTGGAGTTTGAATTAATCAAGAATGTTTCAGGTACTCCCAGACTTTAGAGTTGGAGAGTATCTTAATGAGCCCAACTTCTTGAAAATGAGGCCAGAGTGGACCATGTGTCCTGCACAGGATTCCTGTGTAAAAGCAAAGGAAGGCATTTGGAGTCTTTAAGGGTGATGCTCCGGCATGACAAAGGCTCAGCAGATGTGCACACTGTGTTCACAACCGTGAGGACAAAACATGCAGCAGACGCGGTCAGGAAACGGGTGGGTAGGTAGGAAGCTAGTGTACCTCACCAACCTCTCTCCTGAAATTCCCTTTAGAACTCCAAGTGTGCACACAGAAATCTGTCTCTAGACTAGATCTTGCAAACTACAATGTAGATGGATAGAGTTACCTCCACATTCAGTGATTATATGCAGGGGGAATGGAAGAAGAGGGAATCTAGTTGTTATCCAGTGCTATCATTTCTCAAATAAGTGTATAACTGACATATGCCCTCCCAATTCCAAAACCCAAAAGTAAAACCTACAGATTTTTGCTGCAGACCATGGTTTGACTTCCAGACTGGTCATTTAGGAGCTAGGGGAATGTGAAGCTTGTTTCTGCAGGTTCAAAGGGTAAACAGTTATATCTATCTCAATGACATGTCAGTATCCTTTCTCTACAGTTGTTTTTTTCTTTCTTCCTTTTGAGGGATCAGATCTACTTTTAGAAATACCAAAGGAGGGGTATTTGACCCTTTCTGAGGTAAGAGAAGAATTTTGGATTAAAGATTTAACTTTGTCCTTGTAACATCTCTTTGAAGATTTGTCATATTTGATTCTTCCCTTTTCAAAGATTAGAAAATTAAAGTGGCTATACTCTGCTTATCCCTAGTTAGTGACATAGTGAGTTGGTAGTCATGATGGTGAGCACCTGTCATCATGAAAGAAGCATGAGCTTAAGAATGTGAAGACTTGAACTCTGGTCCTAGTTTCTCTGTACCTAGACCTATATGGGAGGCATCTTCAAAACTGCTCTGTCTATTCCACAAGAGTGCCCTGTGGTATAAAATAAGATCAGAGGGGGGAAAGCTTTTAAAATCTTCTTTAAAGCAAGAATGTCACAAGAGACTGGCCCCCAAATCTACTAGCCTCCTGTAGAGATTTCTATCTAATAAGCCTCATTACCTTGCTTCTTCAGGAAAAAACAATCTGTTCCTTTGAGTTTGTGGTTAAACCAAAGTTACTCAATGGTTTTCCTTAATTGTTTTCTTTGTGTGTAGACTACCTTAATGTCACAAATGTTCACCTGTTCAAGGAGAGATGGGACACCAATAAAGTGGACCACCACACTGACAAGTATGAAAACAACCACCTGATTGTACGTAGAGGACAGACTTTCTTCATCCAGATCGACTTCAATCGTCCATACGACCCCAGAAAGGATCTCTTCAGAGTGGAATATGTCATTGGTAAGTGCCACACATAAGCCATGTCATGATAGTCCATCTATGTCATCACTTCATGATTCTCATGATACCATAGGTTGCATAGTACAAAGGGATATGTCATGATACCATAGGTTGCATAGTAGAAAGGGATATTTTTGTGTTATTTCCTAGAATTATACTTTGACAATTGGCTGGAGCTGGGACTGTATCCAGCCCCAGGACCACCTTATGCTCTAAGATGGGTCTGTATAATGCCAAACATCAATAATTTGGGCCTACCCAGGTAAAAATCTTGTATGCTAACAGTGAGTATAATTAATACAAAATGTTGGTTAACTAGGGGCGCCTGGGTGGCTTAGTCGGTTAAGCGTCCGACTTTCGCTTAGGTCATGATCTCGCGGTTCATGGGTTCGAGCCCCGCGTCCGGCTCTGTGCTGCCAGCTCAGAGCCTGGAGCCTGTTTCGGTCTGTGACTCCCTCTCTCTCTGACCCTCCTCTGCTCACGCTGTCTCTCTCTCTCTCCTAGAAATAAATAAAACATTTTTTTTAAATGTTGATTAATTAAATTATTTTTCACAAATGGTTTTGCCATCCTATACTGTGGCTTTTAGTTTATCGCTTTACCTTTATGATTTCATTGGTTTTATGTACCAAAATTAGTTGCAATTCTTAGTATATAATCTCCATACAAGCATTTACCAAAGTTTGTTTTGCTCTAAACTACTTGCATGAAATGGTTCATGAAATATAGAAATATTTTAGTGAAATAAAGTTTACTGAACATTTGTACTCTAATCTCCTTTTGTAGGTTGACAATACACATTAGCTTAACAGTTCTGGGAAGTACCATTTAAGTCTGTTTGGTTCAGCATTTCCCCAATTAATTTTATCCTGGAACCCTTTAGGTTATAGCTGTTAATATTTCACACGTTTTAGTAAATACTTATCTAGAAATTTACAAATATAGCAAATAAACACATGCATAAAATAGAAAAAATGGTTCAATATCAGAAAAACTGTCTATATAATCCTGTATATAAATACAATGAAACTCAGGTGATCAGATCAATAGTCACTGAAAGGAACATGATTAAACTGAGCAGCTGTTTTTTTTTTTAAAGAATTTAAATAAAACAAATGTAAAAGAAATCTCCTCAATTATAATAAAGATTATTTATCCCAAACCAACAACTTTTGATATCCTAAATGGCAAAAAATTCATTTAATTATAATCAGAAATTAGGCAGAGGTACTTGCTATTGCCATTCTTTTTTTGTTGTTGCTGTTAAGGATTTCAGGAAATGAACAGTTTAAGAGAAATAGTCTACAAATACTGGGAAAGAATAAAATTACATATTTTGCTAATGCTATGATTGTATGTATAGAAAACCCAACAGTTTCAAGGAAAAAAGTATTGTATTAAGAAAACTGGTTGGGTGCCTAGGTGGCTTCATCGGTTAAGCCTCTGACTTCAGCTCAGGTCATGATCTCATGGCTTGTGGGTTCAAGCCCAGTGTCAGGCTCTGTGCTGATAATGCAGAGCCCAGAACCTGCTTCAGATTCTGTGTGTCTCTCTCTGTTCCTCCCCCACTGACACTCTGTTTCTCTTTCAAAAAGGAAATAAACATTAAAAAAAATTTTAAAGATACCTGGTAAGATGACTGGATGTAAAATAAATACAAAAAAGTCAATAGCCTTTCTCTTTAGTAATGAGGACCTAGAAATAGAAATAAGAAAAAAATGTTCCACAGTTACTAAAACTGTGAAATGTAAAAACAAATTTTAAAAAACAAGACACAGAGTGCAAATAAAGCAGCTATTAAATCTTTAAAAAAGACATGAAAAACCAATGAAAAGACAAATATGTTTTTGGATGTGATATCTCAAATTTTTTAGGTCTCTCCAAATTAGTGTGTAAATATAGTTCATTTCCCATTGGAATCCTAATACAGTATATTTTTTGTCTTGAATAAAATAACAGAGTTTATTTGTAAGAGTACTTGGCAATAATCAAGAAAATGGTACAAAGAAAGAATGAATAGTAGGGCATTTTCTATCAGAGGTATATTTTAGAACATACTATCAGAAGTGTTTCTTGAAACAGAATAGAGAATCCAGAAATCGATCTCAGTATGTAAGATTACTTAATATAGTTGTTGGTTTCATGCAGTAAGACAAGTACATGGGCTTTTTGGTTTTTTGCATGTTGTTTAAATAAACAACTAGCTGCTGAAGCAACTAATATTTTACACCTTCATATTTTGGTATATATATGTATATTCATATTAGATGTATATATTTGCTACATGTAAGTATGTGCACTTAACATATTTTCATATTTAATATATTTATCTATATATGTATAATTATATATATTATTTTACATGTATATATATTTGGATTATGCATACCAAAATACCACAAATGATCATATATATGAACAAATGACTAAAATATAAATATCACAAGTGAAATCAATGGATAAAAGATAGAGTTGGAAAAATATTCAGAACATACATCTGAGATAAAAGGTTAATGTAGAAAAAAATCTCTTACAAATTGATAATATGAAGACAAGCCATAGAAAAATAGACAAGGTATATGAAGAGACAGTTCACAATAAAGAAAATCCAGATAACCTGTAATCATATGAAAACATGCTCAAATTCACTAGTAGACTGGGAAAGTCAACCAAAATCATTTCTATTCAACAGGAAAAAATTTAGAAAAAGTAATATAATATCTGTTGTTGGTATGTATATTTAGAAAAACATACATTGCCAATATAAATGTACAATTTCATAACCTCTTTAGAATGCAATTTAGCAGGATTAGTTGATATTAAGGGGACATATGCCTTAGAGCTAGCAACTCCACTCTTAGAAATTTATACCAAAGATATTTAAAATCTAGTTTATAAAGATGGCTATCATTTACTACAGCATTATTTATAGCGGCAAAAAATAAAACATAAAAATAAAAATCTCTTAATAATGGAAAGGTGGCTATATTCACATATAGAATTGTTACTGTTAAAAAAACAATGAATTGGGGGGCCTGGGTAGCTCAGTCAGTTAAGAGTCCGACTTCAGCTCAGGTCATGATCTCACGGTTCGTGGGTTTGAGCCCCACGTCGGGCTCAGTGCTGACTGCCAGCTCAGAGCCTGGAGCCTGTTTCAGATTCTGTATCTCCCTCTCTCTCTGACCGTCCCCTGTTCACACTGTCTCTCTCTCTCTCTCAGAAATAAATAAAACATTAAGAAATTTTAAAAAAAGAATGAATTGGACCTATGCCAGATGATTTCAATAGAGGTAGTGGTAAGGAAATAAAATATGGACGGGTACATATGATCTCCTCTACATGCATGTAACTGTGTTTGTGCATAGCTCTGTAGAGTGTTGAGAGCACAGAAAAAAGCAAGAAGCACGCACACAGGTGATGATATGCATTCCTTGGTGGGAGTGTAAGAAGGAGGGAGAAGCAAAAGGAAAGGGGAAGCTAGTGAGGAAGAGAGGAAAAAAGCAAGAATGATTATATGATAATACATATGCATCTAGGTAAAATTATTGATCTATGTGGAGATATACATATGCATATATATGTATATGTATATGTGTAATTTATATATACATCTATATTTATACGTATACATTATATATATAAAGAAATTACAAATAAGAAAATCAGAGCTAAAAATAAACAGCGCTTCCTTATAAAAAAAAATCTCTGACCCCTAACTACTTGAGGTATATGGTTTGTACTCTCATTTACAGGACAAATTCATACATAAATGTGGGGAAATTGGTTGCAGCCAGAGTGGAAATGGGAGAGGAGGAAAGAGATCCCCGAGTGAGAATGAATGTCATCAGTACAATGTGTGGGTTCTGGGCAGACTGTTTGTTGTCCCAGTTGTGGGGTGAGAGAAAGAAAAACTAAATCACTATTCCTGTACATTAGGTGAAATGTAATAACCACAGTTTCATTACATTTAGGGAGCAGACTATTATTGTTCATATTTTTAATAATGGTTACTTCAGGTGAGAAAAAAAATGCCTCAGCTAATATGTTTTTAAAAATCTGATGAAAATTTATTTTTATTTCTTTCTTTATGTTCTTTATTTATCTCTTTCAAGTGTGTGTGTGTGTGTGTGTGTGGGTGTGTGTGTGTATGCACACCTGTTTGGAGTAGAGTCAATTAAAATGCCCTTCATACCTTTATAATATAATGATCACTCCATGTGACTCAACAAACACACTTTTGAAGTTCTGTCCCCAGTTTTGTCTCAACTACACAGGACCTTTCTCTCCTTTAAAGCCAAATATTTAGTGCAGCAAGGAGAAAGGAAAGCTTTGTCTCTGAGGTGGGCTTGACTGAGAGGTCTGAGGCTCTTTCCCACAGACCTTTCAGAAAAGAGCTACGATAATGGAAGTCTTAGAAAACTGACAAGGTGAGCTTGAGGTCGGGTTCCCAGTGTGAACTGCGAACCACCCACTGGGACAGGATGCCTTATCCTGAAGGGGAAGTTCTGGGCGCTACTACGGCAACCTCCCAGTGAGCATGTGAACTCTTTTACAAAAGGTGTAATATCACTTTTGTCCCTTCAGTAAAAAGGTGGGGTAGGGGGAAGCATAACAAATTTGGCTTTAAGATAAAAAGCTATATATTTTAAAAACCAACACGCATTCTAAATCCTTCTTAGAGCCCATGATGTGTACTTTTAGAGTTAAGCTGTATTCCAATACGTGTAGCCCATAATAAGCGTTATTATGTTTGAGGATTTTGTCTTTCCAAAGTTATTGCAGAAACAAGGAAAGAAAACTAACAAAATTCCACATTCTACTATTTAGTGCATGAGAATTCAAACACATTTCTAAAGGGCCGTAAAAGAGCAATGACAGATTTATCCCAGGCAGTGTCTGTCCTTTGTGCGTCACTCAGCTAGTTTCACGACCGCCTGAGATTTCACTGCCAGTGTTAGGACTAAGGGTGGAAAAAAGCACATCATGGGATACTCATGGGG